GTGTTAAATGCTACACTCAAACTAGGTCATGTTCTCATTAAATCATTGTGTTCTATAGGTCATACTGTGATATTTTTTGAGTTGGACATCAGGAAAAATCTGATGAATTTGTTCTCTAAATTTACATTACATTTTTTCAAAAAGCATCTTAAAAGAAACGATTCCAAACAAAGTAAATTAAGCTTGAGAAAATCCAATCATTCATTACATACACTTTAGTGAAATTTTAAACAGAATTATTTTAAAATAAATGAAAGAAGTCATTATAAGTATGTCACAATAAAAAAGCAACTGGTCTATTTCAAACTCAAATACCAAGGTTTATTTCTTCGTTACCTCATTCAATCTCTCATGTAATAATAATAATATTACTATACAATGAAAAACTGCTTAAAGCAACAGATGTTCCCTAAATCTACACATTTGTATATCAATGCACATCAGTCAATAAATAAAGTAAGTAAGAATAGTTAAAAATTCTATTTCAAGCACCAGCGTCCTTGACCCCAGCAAACCAAAGTATCTATCTACAAAAATTGAAAGAGATCTATCAACAAATAAAGGTTGCTTAAGCAAAAGTGTAAAAATCTTGGTCAAGTACCTTGACCTAGACCCAACAGACAACTTCCTTTACCCAGTTATAAGACCAATGAAAATTCTTATCAAGTTATTTTCTGGACAAGAGTGAGACTGATGGAACTGTAAAACTGGTTTAAAACCAAAAAGTTTAATTTTTGTTGATATTCCAATATCATTTTCCTTGCAAATTAATAGTAATCATGAATAAATATGAGATATATGTCTGCTCAATAATGCACACTCTCTGAAATTGCTATGTAGTCAATTCTTACCATATGATTATCTGCTTTGTTTTTTTACTTTTAGAAATGTTTACTTTTAAAAGCAAAGATAGTAAATAAATTGATACATATATTATTATAGATAATTTTAACATAAGGTTCAATGATGTCATACACAAAAATGAATGAATATAAAGACAACATTCATATTAAAATCTTTAAATTACACTGAAATTTTTAACTTAAAAGCAAACAACATTAAAGGTTTATAATTATGCTTGTTTTTGATAGTTTAAAGGGTAAATAAATTAATGCAAACAATACTGTGTGTGAGGTACAACATACTACATTTATATATAAACCACCTCACATCTTATTAATGTTTAACTAAACCATAATATAAAATTACCTACTGTAATACAGTTAAATAGGCTGTATGATAGCGCTTTGAGTTTGTCAACATTATTTTTTGCAGCAGCAATTACGATTTTGAGTATCCTGATGTTAATTAAAGAATACCCTAATAAACTAAAATAAAATTGGCAAAAAACATAAAATTTTGACAGAGCAAATTTAAAGCATTCTACATGCTTTGCATTCAGGGAGCATTAACCCTTTTCCACATATATACGCGAAACAACGCACTTTCGACCCCCCCCCCCCCCCTTTTTTAGGCCTCAAATAGTGAAAAAATGTCCTTTTTGGACCCCAAACATAAGTTTTCGTTTTGGAAATGTTGCTAAAAAAAATTGAGCACTTTTTCGACGCTATGAAGGGGGCGAAGTCCCCCTCATCGCAAAGAAAATTTTGGACTTGTGAGAGGCTAAAAATGACCCCAGGTCGATCATAATGTAACGTTTAACCAACACTGAAAAGCCTTTGACTATATCTCAATCCCTTGAGCAGTTGCAGCACTTTGAAATAAATTTTGATGGAAAAAATCGAGGCAAAATAGTGATTTTTGGCAATTTTGAGATGTCCCCTCGTTGCCATGGTAACAGGAAATTTAAGACTGAGCATGTTGTTACAAAGGCAATGGTCCAGTCAACATTTGTGCCAAGTTTGATTAGTATTGAAGCATTGTTCATAGTTTCATAGCAGTTTGAACTTGTAACAGGAGGCTTTTCAGTGAAAACGGCCATTTTTCACAATATGCTCATGGGGGAAAGGGTTAAAAGTTATGGACTGGTCTTGAAATGTTATGGAGAGATTATTGAAGGTATAAAGAATATAAGCAATTTGATTACAGTCACTGTGATTGTACCCTTTACCTGCAGTATCTTGACTTTCTTCTGAATGATCTTGACCCAATTTCCATATTGAAACAGTCCACTTTCAATATAACGTTCATGTATTAATGAAAACCCAATAGCTTTGCTAATGACAAACAATATTTTGTAGGATATAACAAATCAAGTAGATATGTTAAATTTAGTTACATCATATTAACATGTAGGTGTGTATGTCATCTTCACATTTAATTTTTGACAAGACTTAAGTAGATATACATTATGTAATTTATGCTTATTATATTTTTGTTACTGTTTGTAACCCCTATTTGAGGCCACCATAGCAGCAGACATATCATCAGGAACATTCCACAGTCATTGCAGGTTTAAAGCCAAATTAATTATTTACAGTTGATTTGACCTGACAGTTAACTTGACATGACAGCATAATACCGCAGTGATGTCTACCAATTCTTTGTACTTTGTGTGTTAGCCATGACAATAATAAAATGTCTTATTTGTGATTTTATTAGTCAGTAAAAAGATGGGAAAACAGGACTTTTTCAGTAAAAAAATAAGGATATTTGGGCTATTATGGTAAAAAGTAGGGATAAGCTTGGATAACAGATCTATCTCTGGCATTCAGTTTCTACTGAGGAATGCCAGACAATTCACTCCCAAGACATTTCACTATTGAGATGTTTCACTCCCAAGATGGGTCACACCTTCATGTTGCACTCCCAACTTGTAATTGTATGGACGTTTCACTCCCATTTTTTTTAAATGTTTATAACAATTTAGGAAAGTTAACAAATATTTTTTTCATTTAATATGTAGGGGAAATTAAATCTTATGTTTGATTTTTATTGATATTGAGGGCATTGTTAATAAGAATTTATAATTCTGAAAAAAAAATTATGAAATGTTACAGAATGTGTAAATAATATAATCTAAACAGTATAATATCTGCACAGAAAAGTGAATTTTGTTCTGTTTAAACAGTGTTTTGAATTATTCATTGTATTAGGAGTGAATATATTGGTTTCAATGAGGACATATGATAAATTATTAAAAGATTATTCTTTTAAATTATTTCTTTATCCATTTATTAAACAGCAGCCATTAAACAAACTTATGTAATTGTGGTGTTAACAGTAATCTTGTCGCCTAATTAATTGTATAAACACTGAGACCATCAACTTACAGTTTGACATCACCATACATTGTGAAGTCTCCCAATTTAAGCAGGAGACTCCCACTTTCTTCGGCCATATTTTCAAAGATTTTTCTTAAAATAATTAGTGCTCGCCAATTTTTTTGAGCCAATCACCGACGAGGATTTTTCAAATTTTCAGGTTACAAATCTTAATAGAACAGATTTTATATAAACTGGACGTTTTATATTATAAAACGCAAGTGGGCGGAGCTAAGTTTCTAAGAGCGCTAAAGTGCAATATACGCATGTGCAGAGATCTTGAAGTTTACTCCTCCTACTTATCAATATTTATGCATCATGTTTTTTCCGAACACGCACATGTATATCGTCACTACGGCATAGAATTAAAAAAAGAGGTTCATTGAAATGAAAACAGGCAAAATAACAGTAAAAATGTTTTAACAAAAACAACAACAACAAACATTTGTGGTTTGTGTTATAAATACAGCATTTTAGAGTCATGTGTATTTAGTATACATCTACAGATACATGGGCATCATGTATATTATTTTAAATATTTAAATTATTTGCTAAAGAGTAAAGGTAGATAGCCTATTTAAATCATAATTGTATGGGTATTTGAAAACTTGTTAACTATTTCTTATCTCAAAGAAATGCACTATGTGTCGATAAACAAACAGGCTATAAACATGAAGTGGTCGAAATAAACTGTTAAAATTTTTTAATCAAAATATTTCTTCCTGATAAACTCCATATCGCCATACATGTAACCCGAAAATGTATACCGCTACCATCTTCCAAATATGGTTATACACATTTAGGCTATCGTGTGACGTTACACAGTGTGTTGGGCGGAAAAAAATTGGGCGGAGCACTAAGCCGGTTAGAGTGCATATTGGATGTTCTTCGCAAGCTCTGCTCCTTTTTAGCTTTCTTATTTACGAAGAACACCCAATATGCACTCTAACCTATACCTGTATAAAAAAAGTAAAATAATATTTAATCAGATAATAAGATATAACTCAATTATATTAGATGATCCAATCAAGCAAAAAAGCTAAATAAACTTTAACAATATGATATACAAACTTAACCCTTTCCTTCATGAGCAATTTGTGAAAAATGGCCGTTTTCATTGAAAAGCCTCCTGTTACAAGTTCGAACTGCTATGAAACTATGAAAAATGCTTCAATACTGAAGAAAATTGGCACAAATGTTGACTGGACCATAGCCTCTGTAACAACATGCTCAATCTTAGATTTCCTGTAACATTGGCAACAGGGGGACGTCTCAAAATTGCCCAAAATCACTATTTTGCATTGGTTTTAGTCCCATCAAAACTGATTTCAAAGTGCTGCAACTTCTCAATGGATTGAGAAAGAGTATAAGACTTATCAGCGTTGGTTACACATTACCTTACAATCGACCTGAGGCCATTTTCAGCCTGTCATATGACCAAAATTTCCTTGTGAGAATCGTTATATGAATTTTGGCCTATTTTCACTTTGGACCCACTTAATGAAAACAAAAATGGATCACCTTGAGTCTTTTTCAATCAAATATTTGGCATTGGGTGGAGAAGAAATTGTGACCATACATACTGTACATAATATCATCAAAGTAACATAAGTATCGTCTGCATCCTATCTCAGGAAGTGTTATAATTATAATCATTCCATGAACTTCCTGGACCAGAACTTTATGTTTGCATTTTTCAGTCTGCAGCAACAAATAGTTATATATTTGTACAATAAATACATGAAATAATACAAAGTTATGAACTGATGAACTTACCATCTTCTTCATCAATTTTCAAAGCCTTAGAGATGTACTCAAAAGCTTTTCTGTGATGATGCTTTTGGGTGGCAATCATTGGGTCAACAGGTCCAGGACTTCTTTGAGCCTTTGACGACATACTGATGCCTACTTCTGCATCCCTTTGAGGACGATATCCTGCTCTTTGTTGGGATATTCCTCTTATAGCACTGCCTTTGCAAGCAATTATACCCAAAACAACCCACAGTTGGAAGGCAATAGTCCGTAAAACTGAGAAGATAAAGAGAAGAGGGGCAGCAATTATGCGGAAATTTCTTCGATGGAAACCTCCGTGATCTATTGGCTTGGCTTTGGATTTGTTTTCAGCTCGCTTTCGGCCCCAGGGCCGTCCAGGTCCTTTGCGATTCATTTTCTTCGCAAGCCGCCATTTCTACAAATTCACATTTCATTTACATGGTACTCGGATTTCAAGTGACAGCAACCTTTGTACTATCTAAAAAGAAAGTAAAGCTGAGTACCAGTTATTTATTATTAGTCACGCGGGATGTACCGCGCTTTAATCATATTATATGGAAGAAGTCAAATATAATCCGAATACAGGAAACCACGAAACTGACGTCATGTTTGGGAAAACCCAAAATACTGTATTGTGATTGGTAACTCGGCTAAACATACATGACTGCACTTTGATAACATGTAGACATGTAAGACACGCCCGGGGATCAGTGTTGACAATATTGTGAAAAGCTCAAGGTGTGTAAAAGTGAAATGGAAAATTTAAATTTTAGTCAAAAGAAATGCGATATGTTTTCTTCAAATCAGGATCAGTGCCTAGATAAAGTGAAAAGTTTACAGCATTTATGCAGAGCAACGGTATTATCAAATGTGACGCTCGGATGTGTAAATAATGTTAAAAATCTCGAATTACCAAATTTACTGAAGGATTTTCTGTGTTCATTCAACATTCCTGACGATTTTGATTTGGACGGATTTTACATTGATTACCATTGCAATTTTCCGAATCACGTACATCACAAAGTGCATCAGATTCACCCAGGAAAGTGCTTAATTGATGGTGCTAAGGTTTTAATTAAATCCCAGCATTGCTCAGATGTATGTCGAACCTGTGATTCGTCGGGGAGATGTACAATGCAGTCAAGCAGTGAAAGGGACATTTGGCTTCATTTAAGACACAAAAATTTAATGTCTTGTCTCATGTCAATTCACGATTCTCAAGCTCAACGCATGTGCCTTGTGTTCGAATTCCCGGGCATAACACTTCAAGATTTCGTTTTTAGAATGTTTCTGTCCAAACAACAGGTACCGGAGATTATATCCTGGCAGATACTTTCGAAACTTACTTCCGTTTTAATCTACCTAGAGAACAATGGACTAATCCCATGGGAATTATGTCACCCACAAAATGTGGTGATAACAAACAAAGGCGAGGTAAAGTTGGAGAACTTATTACTTTATCTACCAATGAAATCCGGATCAAGATACCAAAGTAACACGGCAAAGAAAATGTCACCAGAACAAATGAAAGGTGAAGAACCAACCACAAAAACTTTAGTATGGGGTCTTGGAAGGATCCTATACGAAATTTGTGCCAGACTGCCCAGGAGAGCCCCAACTTTGAAAGTCACAAACATTCCACCTATGTGTTATAACCAGGCCATCAACTGCACGAAGGAACTGTCAAAGGTTATGTGTGAGTGCCTTAGGACCAACCCATGTGCAAGACCAACACTATGTGCTTTAAAACAGCGTGCAGATAGACAAATAGAAAAATTGAATGTCAACAATTACGATACGCGACTGGAATCAAATATGTTGACACTGATGCGAAGTTTAGATCGTCTTCCTCTCTCAGGAGGATTTCTTAGATAATCATGGGACTACTCAACAAAAAGCTGCACGTTCTTTTTCCCACCGTGTAAATCAGAGAATTATAAGATGAATGGTAGTATGTGTCAGAACATGTCTTGGATGATACGTGTCTGCCTACAGCATTCCAGAGTATAGAACATTCACCTTGTGAAGAACTAAAATCAATGTGAATTCATCAAATTTTAAATGTGTTCGTTTTAAGTGTTGTGCTTGCCTATATATATTTATGTATCCATCTTGTCTCCACCACTCAATTTAAAGCATTATTGATTTTCAACGAATTCAGATTTATTTGCCAAAGGAGATTAATTACTATTTTACCCATGCCACAGAATGGTTTAGTACTATGTAGATATGCAAAAAGGGTGTTTTATTTTTTGATGAAAGATTATAATGTAAACAGATATATATGTATAATGTGTAGAATTGCTTCATATCTTGCCTAAGCTCAGGTTAACTGCGACATGTTTTGACATTGAATTATCCGATTTGAAAAGTAAATAATTGATTTCCGTCTGAAGATGTTGACATTTTTATACATTCCAACCGTGATATCTATAAATGCGTAACTTTAAAATCACAATTATTTTTAGAATGACAAATGACTGCCTTGGGCGTCCCCAAACTCCTCGCAGCGCTTACTTCCCCTGATCTGTACAGTAACCACTGCCACCACAAGTAAATTCGGTCGAATATAGCCGGATATATTTTTTTCACTTTTAATTTTAAAATAGAACACTTTATGTCATTTTAGTTTTCTTTCGTTAAATAGTTATGATTAATGTACAAGAAAGTAAAAAAATATACGTATAAAAATTATTTTGTAAACATAACGTAAGATATTTTCACTGTGACACCGTTTGCATAGTAAACAATGGCAGAATATAAACAGTTATTGAACGATTGCACAAAAATATTTGATCCGGCACTTGTTTTAAAGTGATAACAAATTGTGTGTCTTGAACTTATTTTGTCTGGTAAGGATGTAATTATAAATCTGCCAGTTTGATATGGGATCCCTGGCGTTCTGAAACTGGCCGCCATGTTTTTGTCACATGATACAACTATCATCACGTGATTTCAGTGGTGGCAGTGGTTAAAGTAGCAAAGCGTGACGTAACCGCTGTGAGGAGTTTGGGGCGTCCCTCGATGTCATCGTGGCGTACCGCGAAATGTCAGCAAAATGTGAAAATTGCGGCATTGTTCTGCTGATTTTGGCAGGCCAAATAATATGGACGTTAAATCGTAGATCAATAAGATATTAATTATAATTACTAGATTTAATAATAATTCTTTCCACACATAAATATACATTGGCTGAGTTATTAAGGGTTGTAGAGATAACAGTCTCAATCAGCACACTTTAACCTCGTATTTACAACGTAATTATTCTTGATTAAAGAACAATTTGTAACAGCGGCAACGTGAGTCTGATAATTATATAGCCACTTGACTTTTAAAGTTCATAGTTAATACTAAGCGGAAATACGGAGGTCTGGTATCTTACTGGCGAATTATCTGGTTTATTCAATTACAAGCATACGAAAAACGAAAGACGATTTTGTTTACTGTATCAAAAGTAACCTGTTTTACAGCTTTTTTTACTTTCTCATATATGAGTTTTTTGCTGTATAAAAAACAAACTTAAGGAAATATTTTGATTCATTAATAAATGAAACGCTCTATGATGGGAATGATCTCATTTTGTTTTGTTTCAACGTAGTACACAGACTGAATAAATGGCGCCGATTTTTAGCGTGGTAAGAGAGATAAGAAAGATAGTTTTTCCTATTAAGAAATTATACATACTGTATATGCCCTGTCATCACAGGTTTATGAAACATACTGTATTTCCATAGTAACGGCGACAATATATGACATTTTTCTTGTTATCGAAAGTAAGAATCACGATATGGTGTTGGGTTACAAATATATTGGGCTAACATGCGAAGATATTCAGCTAAAATACTAAATCAGGAATTATTACCGTGCTTTCACAGGTATTAAAATGATTTCTTGGCAGAAATGGAGTCATTAGAGATTTTCTGTCTTTGATATTCTCTCAATATTTTTTTCTTTTCTTTTTTCTCTCGAGAATATCTGCATTAATATAATTAAAAGATACTTTAAAACAGAGCAATTCTGCTGCTTTTCTCCGAACGGTAACAAGACATTTTGGCACGCTGAGGTACTTTATTCCTGTCTCTGGTGTTACAAAGGCTGTTTGGTACACCTGTATAGTTTTGGGATAATAGGAAATCAAGATTTATGTTGATAAACGTGTAATCAAGTCCCATCAGCTGATGCAGTATGACTTATATTATCCCATTGTCCTTGTATTAATCTGTTATCAGGGTTAAGGCATCATGATAATTAATTACACATTCTGGCAGCCCACAAGACCTGTCAGCAACAATTATACTATAAATACCAGCGAGGGTTGTTCCTCTAACATTTAAACTTTCTAGCTATTACTGCTTCAAGATTTATGTTATCAAATTATTAGAATTTACACATTTCAATGATTTCATACGCCATTATTGTTCAAGTTTTACATCAGAAAAAAGACCTCATTTTCTCCAGACTTCTATATGTCTTAGTATTGGAATTATAAGCTATTGATGTTGTATTAAAAGACAACCCTTCCATGACATTATCAAGGTAAAATAGGAAACAAAAAACATCATCAAAAGAAATGTTCTGAATCAGCATAATGGATGTTTATTTATATAGTATAAATATAAACACTACTAGTATTTTATCCATTATTGTTTTTTTTTTTCCAAATGTAAATCTAAGAGACATGGCAAAATCAATTCAGTTTTCCCTTCTTCAAGTTAAATTTTTCATAATTAAGAAAGTTGTTGTTGAGATTTAAACAGAAGTTCATATCAGCATCAACTATCAAAATTTTACAGAGTCTATTAAATAATATTTTTTATTCATAACATGTAGAGTAATGTTATAAAATAAATACCAGTTCTAGTTATTATATCCAATTTATCTCAATTTTCAAAGAATTGTTGCAAGAATGCTCCTTACAACATAATGTTTATTAACAACATGTTACTTTGAAGTGCTTTCTTGCCAATTTTATGTGACATGTCTACTTAACATGTGTACATGTATACTGTTACACCGAAGACAAACTGTCTAAAATTTCTTCACAAACTATCCTGAAAATATTAAATTGCCTGTATATATATGTATATATCATAAATGTTGTTGTATCAAGCTTATATAATTAGCCATTCAACTGTTCTATATAAAATTTTAACATATATTTAATATTGAGATGCTGTTGCCTTAGTGTTAACATCACATCTTGTAATTTAAGTTTTGTTGAAATATTTTTGTAATATTTTATATTTTGATTATCCAATGACTTCAGGAGCATGTTTTAATATTTTTGTTGTTATACATGTATCAAAGTGGCTTCACCTATTTGTGCCTTCATTTAATGTAAATGTACATGCAATTTTAATCTTATCAATGAAATATTTTACAAGATTTTTGTTAGACTGTTTTTAACAAAACAAATTTTAATCAATTTAATGTAAATATTTTTATTTTATTAAATTTGTTG